TGAGCAGAGAATGTGGTAAGGTAACACCAGCAACCAAAAAACCCAAAGAGATTCTTCAAAAAAGTCAAACATAGGCAGGTGGTACCAGTGTGAGTGAAGTAAGACGGCAGAGTGAGACCCCAGAAGGGCAGCACCAGTGCAGACGGCTGAGTTGGGTGGAATCAGGTCACACTGTCACCGGGACACCCCAGGACAGGAGCATGCAGGACAGAGGGCGAGCAGACACACTGATGAGTGCCAGATGGCGACTAGGGCTCCACAGGGTGGCTGCGCAGGGACCAGGTTCTGTGTGCACTCAGAAGCTGAGGAGTGCGAGCACCCCAAGTGTCCTTCAATGGAGTGCAGTGAAGATGGCACCGGGCCACGCACAGCCTTCGATAGAAGTGTGCCACTGTTAGAACAGTGAGAGCCAAGGACAGATGCTACACAGCTCACCTCTCTGGGTCTTGATGCGTCAAACTTGGAAACTGGCCTGCGGTACAGTTGCATTTAGATGACAGGAGAGGTTTGGGTCCGTGACCCAAACACAGGTGGGGTGGACGTATAGAGGAATGCAGTGTTTCAGATTTTCACCTTGCACGCGTGCACGGTTCTGCAGAGGGTCGCTATTCGCCAAGCCCCGCCCTTAGCTGGGGCTCAGTCCTTCCAGACCTCCTGATGAGGGTGTTGCCAGCGGGGCCAAGGTCCTGACCCAGCACAGGCTAGACTGCAGCTTTGTGTTGGTAACAGATAGGGCTGCGAAGATTCTGTATGTGGGGCCATTCTTGTACCTGGAACCCAGGGCACACAGGGAGTGTAGACAGGAGGAGGCCCCGAGTCTATGCACCTGTAGCCCTGCAGAAGCAGCAGCCCTGCAGGGAAGCCAGGGAAGCACAGGGAAGCCAGGTGCGGGCAGGGCGTCGGCAGCAGCATTAGGCCGCCATGATCTGACAAGCTGTGTCCAGGACTCAGGGATTCAGAAGAGCCGATTGCTGTGGAGTAGGGGTAGGCTGGGGCTTGTAGTGCTTCTTTTTCCCCAATGTTTTTGTTTTCAGGAAGTACTCTGTCAGTTCCTGTTTAGAGAACAAACAGGGTTTGCATGAGCTCGGATCATCTGGTTCCTGGTCTTCCCTCCCACCTCTGCAGCGCCTCATCTAACAGCCTTCCTCCTGCTCCCGTGCCACGTGTCAGAGAGAGAATGAAATGCGTGTCTTTCTGAGTTGGCTTATTTCTGTTACTCGGTGTTTCCATCTGGTTTCTTCCGCCTTCCTGCAGATGACCAAATGTAATTCCTCTTTGTGTCTGAGTAATGCTCTGTCAAGCATGGGCACCACTGCTCTCCTTCTTATGCTTCTGGGCCCCAAGCTCCTTCTAGGTCTTGGCTCTGTGAGGACTCCACGTGAGCAGGGTGTGCAGCCATCCCTGCAGTGCACAGACACCAGCGCCCCTGTGTGAACGCCGGGAAGGCTGTGGCAGGCTTGCCATAGTTCTGGTTTTGTGTTTTTGAGGAACTTCCTTCCTGATTTCCTCAGTGTCTGTGTTAACTGTGTTCCAGCCAGCAGGGTAGAAGGCTCCTCCCTGCAGCAGCATCAGGGAATACGGGCGTTGCCTCTGTGCTCAGTTTTGTGTTCTCACTGATGGCGACTCTGGCTGCATGAGGTGGAGCCTTGGTGTCCTTTTGACCTGCATTTCCCTAGTGACTGTGTTGGACATTTTTCATGTACTAATCGGCCACTTGTACTGCCCATTTGTTGATTGGACCATTTGATTTTTGGTGGTTGAATTTTTTATGCATTTAAACATTAATTCTCTGTTAGAAGTGGGGTGCTAGGTCACCTGGTAGGTCGCTCTGAGTTCTCGAGGCCCCTGGGCGCTGGCTGCCGGGGGTTCCCCACTCTGTGGCTCTGCCAGCACGGCTGTCTGCAGCACTTCTTTCCGGGGCAAGGGGTGCTCTGCTGTGCCTCGCCTGCACCTCCCTGGGCAGCAGTGCTGAACTTTTCTCTTAGACCTTTGGGCCACTGTGCCTCCTGGAGCAGTGTCTAGCCAGGTTGGCTCGCTTTTAACTTGGTGGTGTCTTGCTGTCAAGCTGAGTTCCACGTGTCTTGGACCCTGCCCTGTTAGCCATCCAGTCCACAGAAGTCCTCTGCCTTTCTGTAGGTGACCACTTCACTCTGCTGATTGTTACCCTTGCTGTGCTGAAGCTTTGCGGCTTAATGCCGTCCCATTTTCTGTTTTCACTTGTGTTGCCGGTGCTTTTGAGACCATGTCCAAAATATCATTATAAGGCCAATGTTGGGCTCCTCATCTAGACGGAAATACACACAGGCGGAGGAGGTCGAGTGCGGACCTGCCGTCAGGTTAGGACGCTTGGTGGATCAGATGACAGCACAGGGTGAGGGGAAGGCACTGTCCCCAGGTGAGACTCCCATGCTCTTGGCTGAGCACCGCTTTGTCTCTCCAACCCCATCAGACACCTGTGGGGCGCCAGGCAGCAGCTGTGAGAAATAGGCAGCAGGTGCCCCATGTGGGGTGGGCAACTGTTCCTATGGGTGGTGCCTGTGCCATGCCATGCCAGGCTGCAAGGCTACAGCTCGAGTGGTGACCCTGTGGGCAGACGCGGGTGGCCGGGCTGGTGCAGGGCCGAGGCAGATGGGGCCAGGAGGCTGGCGCACATTGCCTACCACATGTTTCTGGAGGGGCCATCTGTGTGCAGGCTGGCTCACAGCCGTGCACAAGAGGTCTGCCCTGGCCCTGTCACCTGTCATATAGCCCACGTGTCCTGTGTGTCTGCAGGCACCCCAGACTCAGGCTGTGGCCCCTGGGACCTGGCTGCTAGCCTGAATACAGGGTGGATGTGTCTGCCCTTTGTCCATTCTCTGTATTCTTTTTTTAAAAAATTATTTATTATTATTCATTCTCTTTATTCTCATCTTGATTTCTGTAAACTGAATAATGAAAACATAAAAAGTCACATACATCAGTGGGCTGCATGTAACGGTTTCCTGCATGGGCCTGGGTGTGATGTTAGAATCTGCCGTCTCTGCACCTCTGGCCTCCATGATATAAACTTCCTGGTGCTTTCCTGGTTTGCACAGCCTCAGGCTCCTGTCTGTCACCCTGACGTGCGGCCGTTCACCTGAACTTCTTGTTCATGCCTGCTTTGTCCATTGCTCGGATCCATGTGGTTATTCATGTGTGGTAAGCCACGTGTCCACGCATACACACACACACACACACAGACACTCACACACGCATACACAGAGCGAGGTTTTGCTCTAGGGTGGAAACCGAGTTATTCCCATTGCACCACGTGTCTGGCTCTGTGGGGGTTGGCACACCCTGCTGGCCTGTGGGAGTCAGTGGCCTCTGTGCCCTCATAGATATTTTTAGAAATCTTTTCAATAGTCAGATGAAGTAATCGAATACGTTAATTCCTCAACATCTTGTGGTTTCAGAATCAGACACAAAGTATTCCCTATTCTAAGGTTGCGTGTAAGCCCCTCACCATTTTTAATGCTCTTCTTTAAGTATGTAATGACTCGTATATACACTATTGGCTATGTAATGATAACATCACAGTGGTTTTCTTCAGGTTAGAAGCCTACTTTCTTTCCCCCTCACTTCTTCCTCCTCCCAGCTCTCTCCCCTTCCTGTCCAGTGAGGAGACCAGGACATGGCTTTGGGCATGTCCTCAATGGCTTCTTCAGAAAACTACAGCCTTCGTTTGCAAAAGCCAGTTCAGGTAACCCGTGTTTTTACACCCTGTTGTTCAGGTCCAACCATGGGGCACTCAAGGTGGCAGGCCTGCGCCTCTCCCTCTAATTGGCTTCTGGCAGGTCTGCAGGGCCCAGCTGTACTTGGTGTCCAGGTTACGTCCCAGGCTCAGGGCCCCACCACACCCTGACGCCCAAGTTCCAGCGTGCTACATATCTGTGATTCTCATGCCTGGGCCCAGTGTAGGCGCACAGAGTTACAGAGAGAGAGAGAGAGAGAGAGAGAGAAAGAGAGAGAGAGAGAGAGAGAGAGAGAGAGAGAGAGAGAAGAGAGAGAGAAAGAGAGAGAGAGAGAGGAGAGAGGCGAACGCCTGCAGTAGGGGCGCTTCAGGGACCAGCCCTGTGAATCCGTCATAGGCTATGACGTCTTCCCCTAGGCCCAGGTTCTTTGTGGCTCTTGGGCCTCTCAGGCTGATTGTCACCAGGGAAGTGCCTCCTAAGTGGCATAGCAGTGCCCTCCCATGTCCCAGTGTACATTCCTGCTTGCTCCCACCCCCACCCACCTCCGCTGCTTGCGTCTGTCTGTGTGTTCCCTTCCCCTGCCCACATGCAGCTGCATCGTACACAGCTCCAGGTTCATCTTGTCACAAAAGTGTCTTGGGATGTCCAGGCAACAGTGTGTCATGATGGGGAGGCTAAGGCCTTTCTGGGGATCTTGCTGGCCTCGGGTATGCCGTCCTGTCTGGGATGAAGGCTTCTTCTATGTGAGCTGTGTTTGAGTCTGGGAGTGGCTCTGCCTTGCTTCTGGAGGAGCTGGGCAGCTACCATGCTGTTGCACATGCCCTTGGAAGCAGCTGTGCTGGCCCTCCAATTCCTGAGGGTCCCTTATGGGTACTGTCTCTGATCTCAGCCCAGGAAGCCCTGGCAGTCCAAGGTGTCCTTTGACACAGTTCCTTCTGAGGGTCCCCAAGCCCTCCTTTCTGGGTGCCATAGGAGGAGGGTGAGGCCGCCAGGCTATGTAGCTAGGCAGAATGTGCTCCTGGGCATAGCCTGGTGTCTCTCAGTCTTCTTCCCAACCTGGCTGTGCCCTTCAGGGGACTATGGGGAGGGTTCAACAGTGCACATGGCTTGTGAGTACCAGGGCATTGTCCCTGGGCACCAATGTAAGAGTTGTGGGTAAGCCCTGGGCCAGGCACATCCATGGTGGCCAGGGAAAACCTGGAGACAGCCCCTTCTGAGGCCTCAGGTTGCCCTGGACCTGGGCTTCTGTCCCTTGCATAACACCACATGTTGCTCTCTCGTCCCCAGGCTGACAGGCAGCGAGCCCCTGACCATCCTCCCACTGACCCTGGAGCCTGAGGCAGCAGCTCAGGCTCACTTCAAGGCCTGTGACCGGCTGAAGCTGGAGCGCAAGCAAAGGCGCATGTGCCGCAGGGACCCGGGTGTGGCCGAGACACTGGTGGAGGCCGTGAGCATGAGCGCACTTGAGTGCCAGTACCAGTTCCGCTTCGAGCGCTGGAACTGCACGCTGGAGGGCCGCTACCGTGCCAGCCTGCTCAAGCGAGGTGAGTGGGGTCCGCCGAGGGCTGGGCCAGGGGCCTGGGCCTCCCATGGCCTTGCTTACAGCCAGGGCTCTTGCCAGGTGATGGTTAGGTACGGGTTACCACCCAGCACCACTGAAAACAGTGAAATCTGGGATTGGAGACATCCTCCCCACCCATCTAGGGGAGAGGCGCCACTGGCCCATCCAGATGAGGCATCCAAGGGTGTTCCCAGGCGTGTCCCCACTGACCTCTGACCCTCAGATCCCTTTTGACCCCTGGCCCAGGCTTCAAGGAAACTGCCTTCCTCTACGCCATCTCCTCAGCTGGCCTGACGCACGCACTGGCCAAGGCCTGCAGTGCCGGGCGCATGGAGCGCTGTACGTGCGACGAGGCGCCTGACCTGGAGAACCGCGAAGCCTGGCAGTGGGGTGGCTGTGGGGACAACCTCAAGTACAGCAGCAAGTTTGTCAAGGAGTTTCTGGGCCGACGATCAAGCAAGGACCTGCGGGCCCGCGTGGACTTTCACAACAACCTCGTGGGTGTGAAGGCAAGCAGATGGGACAATGGGGAGCACTGAGCATGGGTGGGTGGGGCCTGAAGGGGAGGGCCAAGCTGCCATTGCTCAGCAGCTCAGGGTCAAGCTACTAGAGGCTGGTTACCTTCTGGACCTGCTGGGACCCTCGTACTAGGGTGCTCTTTGACTCCCTGAAAAAGGTGAGTCAGAGGTTGAAAGAGGAGTTAGCAGGGTCTGGGGGGTCTGGGCCCCCGTATCTGTCCTGGGCCACTCAGATTGCCAGATCTGGCTCCCTGCTTGGACCGTCAGAGCAGGAGGTTAGCAGTCTGTGTTCCCCACTTGCCAGAATGGTCTGTAGTCTTGACCCGAAGACATCCAGGGAAGGGGGCTGTAGATAGGATTCTGGGGAAGGGTGGGGGATGCAAACCCACTTGCCCAAGTCAGGGACAGCCTGAGTCACTGTGTCACTGTCCCTGTCTGTGGCTGCTTCTGTTGTTTCCGGAGATGGAGAGAAGCCCCTACCAGGCCTTTCTGTAGGCCAGACTGGGAAGGCACGCCAAGCCCCTGAGAGCCCTGGCTTTTCAGCTCCAGATCCACATGCTGGCAGGGAGCAGCAGCTCCCTTCATTCAGGATCTGGATGGTGCCCATGTCCCTGGCCCACAGTGTCTGAGCTCACCAAGCCCTCAGGTGCAGAGGCAAGGATGGGCCTTGGGAGGGCTGGGCAGCCCCAGTGCTGGGATAGGGAGGGTGGGAGGTCACCAGGCCAGCGCTGCCCTGTGCTCAGAATCCCACACTAACTGAAGAGTCAGTCTTCCCTTTCCCACCAGTGCCCAATGCCCTGGGCAGGCTGGCAGCAGGCCCCTCAAGGGCAGACCAAACCCTTTGGCCTGGCCATTCTTTCTGCAGCCCTCCTTTCCTCTCTATTGGCCCTTGCATGAGCCAGTAACAAAGAGTCACCCTGAGTGCCTGTAAGCTCTACAGGCTCTGGAGCAGCCACGTTTTAACTAAATTTGGTTTTCTCATGAAAGCAGCATCAAGTGCAGGAGGGTGGGGAGGGCAGCACAGTTCTAATCTCCACCCAGCAGCACTCAGTGGTCTGCTCAGGAGCTCAGCACTTAGCTCAGGGCCCACCTGGACAGGGCCTCCTCCCCATTGTCCTGGCTTTGAGGTGCCCTCAGGGACCCAATGATCCCATGGGACGCTGGCTATCTTGCGGGGGGGGGGGGGCATGAAGTCCTGGACATCAATATGCAGCCATGCCAGTTGCCATGGCTGGGCCTTGGCCATGAGCTGGGAGAGCTCAAGGGTGTAGCCCCTCCTCCTCAGTGTCCTGGGTACCCTCTGGGGGAGCAAGCCTTACTAGGTGGTACATGTATTTACCCCACAGGGTGCCCCATGCGTGATGCCTCTGCTCAGGTAGGGATGTGGCCAGCCTGGGGCAGGGCCCTGGGTGAGGTCACACATGCTGTTGTCTGTCACTTGAGTGGCATCCTGGAACCTGAAAGGAAGCCTGAGTGGCATGGGTGATGGACAGTGGGACACTTTAGAGGGCAAGGTGGCTGCCATGGGGCCAATGTGCTGTCCCCCAACTGAGGCAGAAGGTAGGGCTCCACACATTGGGCTTTGGTGACCTCTACTGGCCAGGCCTGGCTCCCTCACCCTGGGCTCTGTGCAGGTGATCAAGGCTGGAGTGGAGACGACCTGCAAATGCCACGGTGTGTCAGGCTCCTGCACCGTGCGGACCTGCTGGCGGCAGCTGGCACCTTTTCATGAGGTGGGCAAGCACCTGAAGCACAAGTACGAGACAGCACTCAAGGTGGGCAGCACCACTAACGAGGCCACTGGTGAGGCAGGTGCCATTTCCTCACCCCGGGGCCGGGCCTCAGGGATGGGCAGTGACCCACTGCCCCGAACACCAGAGCTGGTACACCTGGACGACTCGCCCAGCTTCTGCCTGGCTGGCCGCTTCTCCCCAGGCACAGCTGGCCGCCGTTGCCACCGTGAGAAGAACTGTGAGAGCATCTGCTGCGGGCGTGGCCACAACACGCAGAGCCGGGTGGTGACCAGGCCCTGCCAGTGCCAGGTGCGCTGGTGCTGCTACGTGGAGTGCCGGCAGTGCACCCAGCGAGAGGAGGTCTACACCTGCAAGGGCTGAGCCTGCTGCAATCAGTCCTGTTCTGTGGGGTGCAGGCACCCCACACAGTATGAGGGTATCACTCCTACCAGGGCTGAGCCCCCAGGCTCTGCCAGCCCTGCTGTGGGGTGTCTTATGTTGCACACATTGCAAGGGTCTACACCTGGAAAGGCCAGCATGCATGGCGTGGGTGTCTACAACTGCTGGGACTTAGGTGCCGTCAGCTTGCTGTGACCCAGTACTGGTGCAGTAGCCCCATCTGGGCCCCACACCCTCATCACCCTGGGCCTCAGCTTCCTCCCGACACGAGAGCATCATCATAGTGCTTTCTGAGTTGTCTCTGTCCCCGACATGCCCGTTACCGGGCCAGAGCACCTTTGTGACCATGTGGCTGCCTGTCAGAGCAGCCTGGCCTGGCACCGACACCAGCACTGTGTTCAGAGAGCCAAACCACTAGGAGTGAATGCTGGCTGCCTGTGTCCAGCCCTGCCACCCAGGGGCCAAGCCCAGGGGCCACACTCGGGGGGGGGGGGTTCTGTTGTCCCTCACTGAGGTTGAGCACTTCTTTTTGGAGTGAAATCATTGACTTTTAAATTATTATTATTTAACATAATAATTATTATTTCCTCTGACCCTGCCACCACCATGCTCTTGGGTACCTTGAGCCGTCTGAGAGGCTGCTCCTCCCTGTCCCCCCCCTCCCCCCACTGTCTGCCCTGTCTTTGAAACCACTATTCCAGAGGGTTCTGGATGCTGTCATTGAATGAAGAGACCCTGGCCGCACCTTCTGGGCTCCAGAAGCAGCCATGCAACAGCACAGCCAGCTGGGGGCCCCTGCTCTGCAGCAGGGTGGGGGGCCCAGGGCTAGGGTGGTATGGGTAGCAGGGTGAAGGGACAGTGACCCACTTGTGCCTGCCTTGGGGAGCATGTGGGGGCAGGTGTAGTCACCTAGCTTTGGCCACAGGCTGCCCTTCTTTTCCAGTGCTGTCTTTACAGGGGAAGCGACCAATGCCAAAGGGGTTGGTTCGGGAGTGTGTGTGTGTGTGTGTGTGTGTGTGTGTGTGTGTGTGTGTGTATGCTCAGCTGGCATGGGCAGCTAGCTCCCTGTGGTAGCCCTGGGTTTTCTGGGTGGTGTCCCACAGGTGTGGCTGGGGTCCAAGCGGGTGGCGGGGTGGACACAGACTACTGAGTGAGGAGCGGCTTCCTTGGGGGGCTGAGGTCCAGGAAGCTGGTGAAGTTCTAAGGAAAGCCTCTTTCTGGGAACATGGGTCTCTGGCCCCTCCTGCATGGAACGTGTGACAAAGTGAACTCTAGTTGATGACAGCCTGGCCCAGCTTCAGGAACAAACGTGGCAGAATCATGCTGGCATGGTCTGGCTGGGGGATGGGGGCTGCCGGCAAGGGTCCCCATGCCCTTCTGTCCATGCCTGTGAGCCTCGAAGTAGACCTGCCAGGAGCCCTGGTAGCTGAGCTCAGCATCATCAGGTGTGTGGCACAGCTCTGCCAGGTTGGGAAGGGCATTTTTATCAGATACCACATTTAGCTCTGTGTCCTCAATCTTCAGGAAGTACTCAGTACTTTTTGAACAGGTGGATCCCACACATCCCCTGGCTGTTTCTATGCAAGTGTGTGCTGGAATGTCTTGCGAACTGCCGCAGCTGCTCTTCAGGGGGCAGGATGAGGGAAGGGAGGTCCCCTCCCGGCCCGCGTGGACCTGGACCCAGGCTGGCTAAGGCCAGGTGGTGCCAGGGCACACAGGACTGTCCTTGTGCTGAGTCTGCGCGAGCCTGTCGATTTCTCTACCTCATCTGTGTAGTAAGTAGGTGTGTATCTGAGTGACTGTGGAGAATGTATTTATTTAACAGCTTTGTATAACAGAACCAGAAACAATGGAAACACTAAATAAATGTATTTTAAATTATAGCCAAATTCAGCCTGGAGCTTTCATAAGGATCTTTATAAGGGATCAAGGTGGTGGCTGGGGTGGGGGAGGCAGACAGGTAGGAAGGGGAGGACCTGGGGCAGGGGAGGACACAAAGAAGAGCCGCCCGCTAGGGAGAGGAGGTTCACAGGGTGGGGGGTAAAGAATGTGGAGAGGTGTGAAGGAGGAAGTGGGAAGAGGGAGACGCGGGGGAAGGGAGATGCAGGGAGGGGGTTGGAGGAGGTTCACCGAAGGGGGAGAAAGTAGGGGGAGAGGAATAGGGGGATGTGAGGAGGGAAGGAGGGGCGCGTGCAGGGCGGGGTGTGTGGTGGGGCTCATGGATGGGCCCGGAGACAAGGCCTCCCCTGCAGGACGCCTCCGTGCAGCCTCCTGCTCCCTGTCTTGCCTGGAGTCTACTCTGCATCTCTTGCTTCTCAAAGTGTCACTAGCTGTGGCTGTGACCACTGTGGGCTCCATGCCTGCCACTGCCACGTAAGTATGTGCTGAAGCCAGTTCCACCCCAAGCCCGGGATTTGCCTGGTGCCAGTGTGGATTGTGTCTGAGAGGTCCAGATTGCTTTCCAGAGCCTGGCACTGGGTCCGGCGTGGGCACCACAATGGGCAGCCCAGTGGGTGTAGGCAGAGCCCTTCTCTTCAGGAATACACTCCCTGGCGTTTCTCCCCGCCAGTTCGAGGTGCAGGCTGCATGCGTGTGCCCGTGCCTGCATGTGTGTGGCAGTTGTCTGTGCATCACGTCATGTGTCGTATGTGTCACTGTGTGCATGTGGTGTGAGTCTCATTTCTGGCCTGGTTGTCTCTCAGGCCTCCAGCCCAGGCAGGACCAGGGCCACCCCAAGAAACCCTCCTGCCAGGCAGCGAAAGTCCCCTGTCCACCTGCTGCAGACTGGACAAGGAAGAGGCTTGGCAGCTCCTGGAGCCCAGAGTTACCCTGCCTTTGCTGGGCCACTAGTCGAGGTTGGAAGAGTTGTATTGCCCCAAGGCTCGAGGCTTTGAGGGTGGAAACACAGGCCTGGGATGCATGGGTGGCCAGGGGTGAGCTGGGCTCCTGCTCCCCTCTGGGGTCAGGCAGCAGCCTCGGCTGGGGGATGAGGTAAAGAGGCTTAGGTAATGTCTCAGAGGACTGGGCCTCGGGAGGAGGCATGACCAAGTATTGCTCTGCACAGACAGCTGGACGGGGAGGGACAGGGAGGGCAATGCACCGGGAAGAGACGGGATGAGGGGGAGCGAGAAGAGGAAGGGCGTGCCCGGCCCTCTGCCTCACGGCCCAGGCTGCACATGGGGTTGGCAGAGGCTTTGTGGTCCGGCAAGGGAGCCCGTGTGGGGCCTGGACTGTGGGCTGAGGTCAGGAGACCCCATCTGCTTGCAGCTCCTCCCGCCTAAGCCTCATGCAGGGTGCCTGGCACCTTGCACCTTGCAGCTGCTTCCTGTGTGTAGACTGGGTGTGAGCCCTGCTGTGCCCTCTCTGATTTGACCCCTGGCCTCGGGTCCTCTCCTTGCCCTGGGCTGCCCCTTCCACCGCCCTGGTTAATTGTGCTGCTGACTGCAGGCCTGGGGTCCTGTGGGCCCTGGTGGTACTGTGGGGAGGGCAGGCTGCAGCCCAGACCCAGAGTGGGGCAGGGGGACAGCGCTGGGATGGCAGAAGCTGGAGCAGGGCAGGGCCGTGGTCAGAGATGGCATCACTCTCTGCCTTGCTGGTCTAGGGCCTCAGTTTTCCCAACCTACCTGGCATGGGCTGATGGCCATGGTCTGGGTCTGGTGGCCTTGGCAGGCATCTTGAGTGAGGGCTGCAGGACCACAGGGCCACAGGGCCACAGGGCCAGGTCCTGGCCAGGAGCCTGGTTGGACGCCCCTGGGGGAAGTGGAGGGGGGTCCAGCTGGTTGCCAGGGAAACCTGAGCCAACAAACACTTCCCTCCTGGCCCGTGGGGGCACGATGACCTCATCTGCCCACCCACCACTCAGGCCGGCTGGAGGTGGGGGGTCCACTGTTTGTGTTGGGCCCCAGGCCATGGAAACCAAGGGGGAAGCAGCCTGGGGCTGGGGGCTGGGGTGCAGCAGCGCCTGCTGTGGTCCTGAGCAAGCCAGGCCCGGCCTCCCACGCAGGCCAGCCAGGGAGGAAAGGAGAGGCGGCTGGGAGGAGGGGTGGCCAGGGCAGGCCCTGAAAGCGCAGAACAGGATCAAAAGGGTTGTGCAGGTGGAACTCTGTGGAGCTTCATGGGTCTGCCCAGTGGCAGGGAGTGGGCTTCACGCAGACTCTCCGAAAGCCCAGTCTCTGCAGAGAACCAGCTGCCACCGCCCTTGGGGACAGGTAAGGCCACAGGCAGCCATGCTGTGGCCGCCTCTCCCTCTCTCAGCACTCCATGCACCTTACACTTGAAAGGAACTGGCACATCTGAGTCCTCTTTCCCTGGAGTACACCTTGCCCCACTCAGCCCGGCCCATGACAGCCCGGTGCTCGTGCCTTAGTGGCTCCCCCAGGCCAGGTGCTATCAGCCCCTGGGCCATGACCGGACCTGCTCTCCACTGACAGCTGTCTCTGAGGTTCCCCCTCCCCAGTCTCCTTCCAGCTCTGCTGCTTGGTTTTGCCTGAGGACAGCAGGGCTGGCTTTCTTTAAATTGGGAGTATTACACAGGCTGAGCGCCCTTACCTCGCCTGCTTGGGGACCAATAGCAGATTTCAGAGGTGGGTATTTTCGGATTTCAGAAGATGTGTGTGGGTCAAGTGTCCCTGGCCCCAGAGTCCCAAATCTTCCAAACCTGAAACTTTCTGAACCACGAGCAAGTGCTTGAAAGGTATGAGCTTGTTGGGTTTGGGAGCATTTGGGATTCTGAGGGTTGGGATGTGTTGGTCAGCTTCAACTGGTGTTGGTCGGCAACCTGGAGGGGAAGCACCCAGCTCAGGGCTGCTGGGAGCAACCAGGAATTGTGCACCAAAGGACAGGGGCTTGGGGACAGCGTCACCCTGACAGGTAGCACCAATTGTCACGGGTAGCCCGTCTACCTTCTGGACCTCCACCAAGCCCCACAGCAGGGCTTGAGGGTGAGCCCTACAATGTTTGCATTTCCCTGGCGCCCAGGTCTGGCCCAGAAAACTCTGCCACCCATGAGTGTCCCAGTGTTCTTCAGTCTCCATCTGGGGACTTGCTGTGAGTAGCAAGGCTTTTAGGCAGAGCTGAGTGTGGCAGTGCATACCTGTAATCCCAGCCTTGGGAGACTGAGGCAGGAGGATGGAGGCAAGTTCCAGGCCAACCTGTAATACATATTGAAACTCCATCTCAAGAACAAAGCAGAAGTGAAGTGTGGTCTGATGCCATGTTGTCGGATCCTCCCGTGGCCGAAGGCAGAAGCCCGTACCCCTCTGGTCTGAGAAGCGATGCCATCTGTGAAAGAGGAATGAGAAGTCTGCCATGGGAAGGAACACAAAGCTCACAAGAAAACAGTGTTCCAAAGAGGGCTGGAGAGAGAGAGGAAGTGCAAGAAACCTGATGACCAAAAAGAGGTCCGTTTCCCCAGCTGCCTTCCAGCCACTGTGGCAAGTGATGCTCCAGTCCCTGTGGGAGGGGCCTTCTTGGTCATGGCACAGCTCTGCTAAGCTCCTCCTGTCCAGCCCTCTGTGCCCTTCCTCTGTTTCCCATCCAGAATGCAGGTGCGACGCGGAATCACACAGTGGAGGGGAGGTCATGAGGATGGGAGCCGCACTGAGGCTCATAGAGCAAACGCCCTGAGCCCTGAGCTCCCAGAACCCCTCACTGCTTGTGACTTAGAGCATTTGGCTGGAGTGAGAGCCTCCAGGTCTCGCCCATAGCCCCCCGATGAGCAAACACAGACGGACATATGCAGACACACTTCTCTGTGTGTGCAGGGAGGCCTGAGCTGTGTGGGCCCCACATAGCTGCCAACATCGGCCAGCCCCAGCTCACCTTCCCAAAGGCAAGTACATGGGGTCTTCGGACACCAGCCAGGGCGAGCTCTGCTGGTGCTGCTGACACTTGCCTCTCCAGGGTGCAGCCTCTGCCCACGTCTGTCTGTCCCCTTGTCTGTCCCTACCCAGGCTGTGCCATGGTGCAGCAACTGAGTGCCTGCCTCACATGTGGTGCATGGCGGTGCTGCCCTCCTGCTGCACAGTGCTCCCAGCCTCTCCACAGCTGGGCTGGATGCCCACCCCATGGCAGCTGCGCTGGTGGCAGCAAAGGCAGAGTGGGTATCGGCTCACTCTCGCCTGCCTGGTAGGAGCTGTGGGCCCTGGAGGCAGTGGACCCCAGAAGGCAGACCCCCTGGGTGGCCAGGTGGGAGGAGGGGGACACGTTGATGAGGCAACAGGTGATGCCCACGCCAAGCGAGTGTGGAGTGGGCCAGATGCTGGTGAGGTGGCTCTTCAAGCCCGGCTAGAACCAGAGCGTGGGAATTGGGTGCAAAACGTGCAAAGCTTCACCTGGAGCTGGGGTGGGGGACTGTGGCCTAAGGGGCTATGTCAGAAGATAAAAAAGAAAGAACCTGACAGATCTGATCCAGAAGAGCAGAGTGAGTGCTCCTGCACAGTGTGCCTGTGTTTGTTGCTGCTTTCTGTGTTCCTCAGGCTTCCTGGATCTTTCAGACCCTGGCGGGCCTGTGCTTGACCTTGTTTGTCCCCTGGCTATCCCTTGCTGTCCCCCGCTGACTGTTGTCTGAGCCTCTGGACGACCTGGGGGGCCCCAGCTGACCTGCAGTGGAACTCCTACTGTGTCAAACTGGCCTCTGGACCCAGTCATTGGAAGCTGCAGGCTTCGTGTGACCTTAGGGCTCATCTAACACACATGTAAGTATGAGGTTCAGGCATGGAGGGACATCAGAGCCAGGGGGCCTGCTGGGCTGTGCCCATCCCCAGAGTGTACTTGTGGCCCTGGGCCACCCACACTGCGCCTACTGCTCCCAACCCTGCAGGCTCTGCACCTACCTCAACCTGTCCTGCCCTCCCATCCTGGGCTGCACTGGGTTGGGGCAGCCCATGAC